TTTATTATAAAATATTATTTTAGGTTAATTAACATATAATGGCTCCATGGCATACCACGAATAAAACATTGTTCATAATTCAAATGAAGAGAACTACTAAAATAAATATTTTGAAATATTATTTCGAATATATTTAAGTCCCATTTTGCCCAAAATTCACGTCATTGACTACGCCCATGTATATAGGTTGAGTTTAAATTGAAGATTATCACAAATAAATAAATTTATATATATGTAATATTATTAATATTATACCACACAAAGAATTTTCTTCTTACAGTTTATTAAATTCAATTAAATATGAAATGATTGATATCAGTATGATCCAATTAACAAATTTTGTTTATATTTTATAAAAAAGCTTACACTTATCTTTACAAATAATACTTTAAAATATTAAACAAATATTAATGATATGGTATTTATAATATTTAATATTGATAAAACATTTAAAGTCAAAGAATTGATACTCAAAGTTTCGTTTTGTATTTAAACAAATAATGATAAAAATATACTATATTTCAAAAAGTTCTGAGTCATTTAAAAACAATTAAAGATTTTTCTTTATAATTTTTTTTATGTTAAACATTGATTTTGTTAAATTTTTTATAATTATTCAAATAGTTTTAAAATCGAGAGAAATATATAGTTTTGCATACATCTTACATACATTTTTTATAGACTAATTTACGCTTATTCTTCATAACCTTCTTCGAATTTTTCCTTATAGTCACAAACCTTAAAGCGGTAATTTTAGCATCATAAACAGAAAAATGTCAATCGGGACTATATTGGGTAATTCCTAGTATTTGGTTTCATGTATAATCTCTTTCCATTTTACAGAAAAATTATATTTATACAAAAGAAAAAATAATATCAGCTTATTAAAGGCTGTGTTTATCACTAACATTTATTACATTTAAAATTCCGGATACTTTCAACACAGCACGTACAATATCAATTGTAATGCTCTGATATACTATGCCGGTGTAGTAAGCGGCTCTATTTTATGCTTTGTATATATTTTTGCACTGATGTGGAACATGGAATAATCCTGTAACTTTCTGACTTCTATTATTCTAATCAAATTTAAATTCTTATAAGGAAATATATACCATTGCAGACTCTTGAGTGAATATTTTATATATTGTGAGTGCACTATTATGATTATGACAATTATGATTAGCGCTTAAAATATAAGATATTTATTAAAATCTTATGAAAATGTTCAAGTTTTGGCAACGTACATATGTACTACACCATAAAAGGATCAAGGACCGGCTATACCTAAGATGCATATGTTTGAAATCATTGATTGCTAAATATTGGTCAAGTATAAGTGTACATTTATTCTTGTTCAATTATTCTTATGAAATTTTTTGAAAGTAATATGTTAAAACATTATTTCAAAAAAAAAAAATGTTATATGTTTTTTAAATTTATATTCACTACTTTAAAGAACATTGATAACCATACGTCTTTCGTATTTCAAACCCACAAGAATTCATTTTTAAATAATTGACATTTCTTAAGAATTAAAACGTAGATACACAGTATTTAATAGAACTATAATTTTATCAACAATGTCAATAACAGTTATCACTAAGTACCCCCAATTAGTGGTATCTGCATGTTATTCAGTTCAACCTAACTATCTAGTGTAATTTTTTTAAGTGTTTGCTAGTTGGTAGAATAAATTTGACATTTAAACCGCAGTGTGATACGTTAACTTATTGACTCTTTCAATATAATTAGGATTTTAATTATAAAATCAGGATAGATTCGGAAGAATCTTACTTGAAATATTACTTGTTATTTAAAATACTAGGCTCGAGAGCAATAAAACGCTGAACAATACTCATAACTATCATAATTAAATACGAGTATATTAACGTCTAATAAATTGTACGGTTAATATATGATTAAAATTGTGAGTAAATTATATTAAGAAGCTAACTAAATGCATAGGTATAAGCTAAAGTCTTTCTAAATTTTTGCTTCTGATTACTGTTTTTATATTTTATAATATAAAAATATATGAAATTATAAAAAACATTATATATTATATGTTTAAATTTTTCCGGGTTTTAGGTTTTACATTGAAAATTCTCTACGAAGAAAACCGACGCATTTGATTAAAAAAAATATATACACAACTGTGAAATTTTTATTTAATCTGAAGTTTGTTTTTTTATACAATATAAGTTATTATATAAAAATATAATTTTTTTAAAAAATACGACCTAAGGACCGGCAAAATTTATACACAGAAGTATTGAAGTCGACACTAATATAAACTATTATATGAATAAAGTATTCGTGTTGCTGTAAAGCTAGACTTCCTTTGTATAGTGACAAAGAAGCTTTATTAAAATTTAGAGGGGTTTTGAATAGCAAAGAAAGAAATAAAGGACAAACACAAAAATTTATTTTAATTTTATTGAAGTTTGGCTGACCATACAACGCTGTTTCGAGTATTGCTAAGTACTCTTCATCAGTGGTCTTTCGAAATAATCGAATTTTGTTTAATTAGTTTATAGTCCGTATATAATTTGTTTTGACTGCAAGTGCCAGGCTTAGAACTCATGCCTGTCAAATTAAAAGCGATGACTAATCGTGTTTATCCACAAGAAGCCAAGGCTGCACAAACTTTCAATGCTCAAGTTCCAGGTTTTATTGTCACTTATTTTTATTTAATTAGTGACACCAACCAAAGCACTTGCCAAAGTGCTTTACAGCAACACGAATACTTTATTCAAATATTAGACTTGTGAAAAGTAAAGAACAATATGTTAAAATATAATATTGTTCAGCTTTTCCTAACCGCGAAAGCGGATTTGTAGAATAACATAGCATAGCTTCTTTGTAAAAGCACCAGAATGGTCGCTTTACATATAGTAAGTAAAACAATATGCATTACAAAATGTCTCTACAAAAAGAGTAGCTTTGAAAAAAATAAAGAATAGGCGAACTCAAAAGTTAACTTTTAATTCGTTGAACTTGTGTTTCCAAAATAAAGCTGTAGTTTATAAGCTCGTTCTATTTTAAAGCACGGCAAGTGCTTTGGTTAGTGTCACTAATTAAATAAAAATAAGTGACAATAAAAAACCTGGAATTTGAGCATTGAAAGTTTGTGCAGCCTTGGCTTGTTGTGGATAAACACGATTAGTCATCGCTTCTAATTTGACAGGCACGAGTTCTAAGCCTGGCACTTGCAGTCCAAACAAATTATATACGGACTATAAACTAATTAAATAAAATTCGATTATTTCGAAAGACCACTGATGAAGAGTACTTGGCAATACTCGAAGCAGCGTTGTATGGTCAGCCAAATTTCAATAAAATTAAAAATAAATTTTTGTGTTTGTCCTTTATTTCTTTCTTTGTTATTCGAAAACCCTTCTATAAACTATTATATATATTATATTAAATATTATATATGTAGCATTAGCATTAAACGTATTGACATTAGAAAAATTGGAGTTAGATATACGCTTCTACCGAAAAGTAGGGAATAAATTCTTCTGATGAACTTCTGATTAGTTCTTTTAAACGTAATAAAAGAGAGTTTTTTTATATATATATAGCGCTGTGCTTTTTATTCAATTAAAAAAAAACTCTAAGAGTTAATACAAGCCACAAAAGTCCGCTATATATTTTTTTAAGTATATATAATATATATAATATAATAATACAATAATATTCTATAAACTAATATAAACTATTATATATTTTATTAAATATTATATATAAAATATTATTAAAATATTTTATTTCATATATTTTTAAAAACTAATTTAAAAAATTTTATTTTTAATTAAAAATTTTTGAAATTAAATATTTTTTTTAATTATAAATTAACTAATATAAACTTTTATATATTATATTAAATATTACATATATAAAATATATTATTTATTTTTTTAAAAATTTATTTAAATAAATTTAGGTGTAATTTTTAAATTCAAATATTTTTTTTAAATTAAGTTGTTTTTAATAAGCACCCTTTAAACCCATTTAATTATTTTCCACAATCAACACAACTTTATACCTTCGTTTTTATTGATATTGAAATTTTATTTTTTTGTTTTTCCAATCTTCAATACTTAAATGTCTAACAAAATTGAATGCGATTGATCGTTGCTCTTCGAAAGCGTTCAACACTCTCTTTTATTAACTGCACACAAAGCAGACCCACCGCCGACCCACAACATCGGGTCGGCACACACCGAGTAAATAAACTTCAAAGTTCTGCGAGCGCCACAGTGGAACAGCTGTTCCACTGCGCTCACCGACACTCAGTGCTTCGCCCATAATGAAATAAAATGTTAAAAAAACTATACATTATCTTTGGCATTACATTGGCAGCGGTTAAAATAACGTTTCAGAACAAATTTGCATTTGAGCGGATGCGGATGTGCGATCATTTTTGTACGCGAGAAAACCTTTAAACGATTGCGAAATTATTTGTATTTAAAAAAATCGTGCGACTAAAACGTTTTATTTTGAATGAAACATTCGAAACATTCGAATTTAGTGAATGTAAATTTATTACTAAGCATCTGCCGCACCGAAAGTGATAAAATATATTAATAAATTACTAAAACAAAAAAAAACGGAAAAAATCATCGGCTGTGATTTATAGAGTCGGTTTTTTTTAAATCTGTTACATCTTGATTAAAATATAAAAAGTGTTTGATAGATGTGACTTTAATTTATGGTTAATTATATCTAATTTAAAAAAATTAAAATAATTAAATTGCAAATGCATTTCCTATATTTCCTGTTCGCTGTCAATGTTTTAACAATTGTTTAAATTATTATTAAATTAAAATTAAAAATTAATATGATTGATATAGAAACAAAAAACGACCATGATTGTAGTCTAATAATGTAGCATAACAATCTAACGTTTGCATTATAATGAATTTTTTGCTGTTTAATTTTTACATTCCCTGTAAAAAATATATTAAATTTCAGTAACGAAATTCAACAAACAAAACAACGATTAAAAAAAACGACTACAATTTTATTAGAATGACAACAACAATTAAAAATATTAAAAAATGTATTCACAAACTGATAAGAGCAACAATGCAGCAGCCCCGCTGAATTATCTTCGTGCTAATCGCTGCTGTCAGCCGCCGCAGTTGGCAGCGTCGAATCGATCGAGTGTGAAGAATGCATCTTCACAGAGCGATCAGAATTATCAGTTTCAACCCGGTTACCGGCGTATGATTTTGAAGAATTTCCATTCCTCGAAAACTGCACAAGCAACTTTAGTCGCGCGGCACACCTTAAATTTTGCAAGATTTTGTCGTTTTGTGCCATTTATTAAAATCGCTTTGATATTGTTTTATTTTAATTGCTTAATAAATCTACCGGGTGGTGTGCATGCAGCACCCCAGTCCTGTATACTCTGTGATAAAAAAGATTTGGAAGCCAAAGATCCTGGGGGAAGTAATTTTGAAGAGTTCCGATTTGAGCACCAAGTTACTCGACAAGATGCGATCAGCGCATTAAAGATGTTTAATAATAGCTTCGATCACGGTAAGTGACTAATTTTTCTGTAATTATAATTTTCAATTAAATATTTAACTACTTGAGTTTAGTTAAACTTACAGCATAGAATCAGAAATATAATACTCGTATATAGTAGATTTAATACATATATTTTTAAATTGAAGCAGAACTTAAGTGTGCATTGCAAGTATTGATATAATTTTTAACAAGTATTATTATTAATTTTGCGCACATATCAATTTCCAAATGTTAAATACTTCGTTAAATTTTTTTTTTTGAATAAATATTATTATTAATAATTAAATCGAGTATAAAGTACGTATTTATTTTTTGGTGGGTTTTCGAAATATATGCTTCATAAAACAACTTACAAGTAATATTTGGTACAACTGCTGAGTATATTTGAAATAAATAACAAGAAGACATAAATTTTATAAGCTTTTTTATTTGTTTAAATACGAATTCTATACTATTTTATTCAAACGATCGACATATGAAGTATTTGTGAATTAAGATATTTATTTCTTACTTTTAACAATTTAATTTATGTATAAATAAAATATTTAAGTATAACTGATGTTTTTATTATTCTTTATTTTTTATTTTTTATGAATGAAGGATTTAAATAAAGCTGAACACTTTTCGATATTCTTCCGAATATGAAACATAGCTATATCTCTGATCTATAATAAATATTTCTTCAACAACCTGTTAATCAGTATGTTACATCAGTAAGTAGTTTAGCTATTTATAGCTAAATATTAAACTTGAGGGATATTAACATATCCGATAGTACTCCATAAGTTGAGCAAATCATTAAAAATAATTAAAAAAATTTGCATTTAAGCAAATAAAAGAGGCTTGCAATTTTTTTTTTATTACTGTTATTTGATAACAGTATACCTCCGTTTTTTAAATAATTTATTGTTTTAATGGCCAAATATTTTTTAATAATAATTTTATTTTAATTTTGATGACGATTATAGAATATAGTCGAAATATCGGTTCACATAAAATCCTTTAAAAATCAAACCATTTTTTAAAAAGTGTATTATGTGGACCAATTTGCCCGTTAAAAAACAAAATTATTATAAAAATATACCTTGAAGTTTCAACAAATTTCTATTATTTAACTATTTGCTATTATTTAATTAAAATATACTCAGTAGTTCTAAAAATTTTGTTTGTTTAACGGTCAACGAATGTTTCGAGACTTTACTGAAATAAATCTTTATATTTACTCGATTTCGATATTTATTCTGATAAAATTCCGATAC